TTGCACTCCAGCCTGGGTAACAAGAGCGAAACTCCGTCTCAAAAAAAAAAAAAAAAAAAAAGATGAAGGAAGCTAAGTGACAGGTTTCGGTCTGAAGCTGAACAGAGGCCTCTTTGCAAAAGAGGGGCCTGAGCTGGGATCTCCCAGATACTTCTAGATGAGGTGTGCTTCTAAAAGTGAGACATGTCCATTCTGGCCCCTCTTATAAAACCATCTCACACCAGGCGTGGCGGTTCATGCCTGTAATCCCAGCACTTTGGAAGGCTGAGGATGGCGGATCACCTGAGGTCGGGAGTTCGAGGCCAGCCTGACCAACATGGAGAAACTCCGTCTCTACTAAAATTGCAAAATTAGCCAGGTGTGGTGGCACATGCTTCTGATCTCAGTTATTCCGGATGCTGAGGCAGGACAATCACTTGAACCCAGTGAGCCCAGACTGCGCCATTGCACTCCAGCCTGGGCAACAAAAACAAAATTCCATCTCAAAAAAAATCATCTCCCAAAAAGCAGGCACTCTAGTACTCAGACTTTTGCCAAACCCAAGGACCACTGTGCTTATTAACTATATTCTTTAAGTATCTTAGAATGTTTTAAAATTGACAGCATCAACTTTTGTTTCAACCTAAAAAGAAGTATCTGTGAAACCTTGGGTTTGTGTAATACTTACACTTTTTTCCCCCAACACCAACCAAGAAGAAGACATAATTATTCTTTTTGGTTTTTATGCCATGGGCCTTTGAGAATTATCTTGTGCACCACCAGCGGTCACATGTTTTGGAAAGCATTCATAAGATGAATAAGATAACTTTGGGTCTTATTTATTTACTGCAAATTTTTAAAATTCATTGCATTTTGAGGAAAGACAGTTCAGAGAAGTTTGTGATCAGATCACCAGAAAGAGGAATCTTCAAAGTGCAAGACTTTTCTACTGGGAAAACTTGCTTGATCTTAGATTATGAGTGCTCTACACCAAGGGGCTTGCTTGTCTGTGTTCTTATCCTGCATGGTGATGGCTATTTTGCATCCTAGATTTCTCGGGACAATCCTGGTGCCACATAACACCCTGGTGACCCCTCCCTCAGCTCTGGACCCAGAGTTCTAGGAAGCTGATGTCATCTAGCCCGTCCCTAAAGAGCAGGAACTGGAGAAGTCTCCTCTTTGCCCTCAGTCCGTTTTAGATCATCAGACACCTGGCTTACCAAGGAAGGTGAGAGCCCCAGGAATTCAATTATTCACTTTAACAACTACTCATTAAGCACCGGAGATACTCCATGAACAAAACCAACAGTGTCACTGCACAGGAAGGAGGGAGGGACTCATCTGGCCGGTTCTCCTCCAGCCACCTTCCTCCCTACATCCTGCCCCAAGATGGGCCAGCATTCCCAGGGTTCAACAGCTGAGCCCGAGACCAACCCAGCGCTCAGTGGGAAGTGACCTACTGCCTGAGCACAGCTCTTGGCCACATCAGCACAGGAACACAGAAATCCAGCATCCTGGACAGATGACATGTGCCATAAGGGTCCCAGATCCTGAGGACCTGGGCCTGGAATCCCACTGAACTCCCCTCAACTGTGACCTAGATCTAGTCCTGGGTCAGCTGCCAAATTGCTGTGCAAGTCACTCCACCTCTCTGAGTGTCCCTGGCTGTGAGTGTCACACTGGGGCTTTCTAATATCATTGCACCCTGAAATTCTCCAATCTTAGCCCCGGGCTGCCCTGAATGCAGTGAGCTCTCACCCTTTCAGGCGCCGGAGGAGGCTGACTACCTGGGGAGTGGAGCAGGACCGGTCACCACTGCCAGCCTCCACCCAGGTGTCAGGTTACCAGCCCGCCACTCTCGCTGGGTGGCAGCTCTGCCTCTGATATTTTTAGACTCCCCCCGGCCTGTCCCTAACAAGGGCCAGATGCATCTGATTGCTGCCACAGTGCTGCTGAAATTGCATACTTTGGCTAACTTCTGCAGGGAGCCAGACGTCACCATTCCTGGGGGGAGAAGGGGAACCACCGCTCCCACCGCCATCACACCAGTCCCCATTCTCCCCCTGCACGTGCTGAGGCCATCGCCCAAAAGTCAGGCCTCTGGTCCTTTCTATGATGCCAACTAACCTCTTCCTTCATTCCAGCTGCTGCTGCCAATCACCTGCCCTCCTGAGACACCCCCAAACACACACCCCTTCTGCACAGGCATCCCAAGGGGGCCCTTTAACGCGTTCCTCTGGTAGAGCTCTGCCCCATCAATCCCAGTTTCTGGGGCCCCACCCCACCTTTGGGTAAGTAGGGCTGCAACCTCCCCTCTGGATGGAGAGCCCCGCCCTGTCCCGTCTCCCCCTTAGCTCCCATAGCCCGTGCCAGAGTTCCCACTTGGCCACAGAGCTGGGAAGCAGCCACATGTTGAAACACACACACACACACACACACACACACACACACACACTTCCCCCCGCCCACTGGAGGGTGGCTGGACTCCTGCTTCCCAAACAAACCTCACCAATCAGCCAGCATCCGGCGCCACTTCATCTGGCCTGGAGAGACATTTATGTATTTTAATCTCGACAGACTTCCCTTCCTGGTCATGTCTAGCAGAGTTTACTATGACAAAGAAGTGGCCTTTGCTGCGCCCTCACCAACCAGGAAGGCCGTAGAGCCGAGGTGAGGGCAAGGGAGTGTCATTCTATGCCTAGGGTGAAAAATGGGCTGGCTGATCCTTCCTGTGAACTACCTGTTGCTGGAAAATGAGGAGTCTGTGCACACTGGCATGCGGTTTTAGCTCCTACTACAAAGATAGTATGTGAGCGGCAGAGAAACTGAGGTGAAACATTCACTTCCATTCAGGGAAGAAAAGATTTAAGTGCCATTACTGGGATGGGACTAGGGGAGCAGGGAGGGGTTGCTAAAGGGATGTGCTCCTAGCCACAAATGCCACCAACCCCTGTTAGCTCCTCATTAGCTAGACCCTAATCTGGGGTGACGCCAGCCAGAGCAGGTTTACTCCCTCCTCCCACCAGGGGTGGAGCAGTGTCAGCCCCAAGTCCCACCCTCTTCTCGCCTGGCCCTGCCCTCACCCACCCAGCCGGTCAGCTCCATGGTTTCCAACACAAACACGTTCTCTGGATTTCAGGCACATCCCAATCTCTCCACTTGAGGGGCAGAGGAGGCCCCAGGCTATGTGGCCGGTGCTCTGCCACCTACTCAACTGACTCCCCGGTTCCCCACGGGGGTGGAGGTGGTGAGATTCAAAAATCCTCAGTGAGAAAACAGGTTCTGCACCTTCCTGCCACCCCCATGCCTCTCCCTGGGCTGTGAGCTTGGCCTTTGCCAAGGCCCCCGTGGGCATCCACGCCCTGGTTTCCCCAGAAGGGTTTCCCCTCATTCCCTGCAAATCAGCAGGGAATCTCCAGGTGGAAAGAAGGGGAGGGCTTGGGAGGCAGATGGAGGGTCGAGATCTAGTTCTTTGCGTTTACCAGCTCAGCCGCCTTGAGCAAGCTGACTTGGATCGCTGGCCTGAATTTCCCGACTTGTAACAGGGGAGTGTGCTGGAAACAGCTCAGGGGTGAGGCTCCCAGGGAGAAACCGAGATGGAGGGCGAACACCAGCGACTGCAAATCTCCAGCAGCTTGTGTGACTCCTGGGAAACCAGCACCCGGTCCCTTCCTCATCCTCTTTAAGCTTTCTTAACTGGACGACCAAAGTCCAAGAAGAGGTGCCCAGCAATAGCGTGTCGGTTCTAAGATCTCTCTGATTCAGACTGGAGTGCAGATGTGGCTGGAGGTGTTTTTTAAAAACAATTTCATGATAAAATTGCATAACATCCTAATCATCATTTTAACCAATGGTAAGTAGACAATTCGGTGGCATGAAACACCTTCACAATACTGTGTAACTGTTGCCACTGTGTATACCCAAAACTTGTTCACCCTCCCCAACAGAAACTCTGTCCCATTAAACAGTAACTTCCCGTTCTCAGGCACCCCAGCCCCTGGCAACCACTTTCTGTCTATAAAATTTGCCTATTCTAGGTATCTCATAAAAGTGGAATCACACGATTTGAATTGCAGGCTTCTTAAGTCCCTCTCCAAGCCCCTTATTTAGACACAGCTGAATTATAAAATCAAGGTGCCGCGCGCGCACACACACACACACACACACACACCCCTTCAGAGCTTGGGAGGGGCAGTGCTTCCTTCCCCAAATCTGAAGCTGGCAGGCGTTGGACTCTGAGCCTGGAGGGAGAGCGTTGCCCTGTGGTGGCTTCAGAGTCCCCATGTCAGCCGCACACCTTCACCCAAAAGACCTCCCTGGAGCGCGCTCAGGTCCCTGGATTTGGGGAGGGGGACGTAGGATCCACACCCCGAGCTGCAGTCTCCCCTCCCTCTGTAACCCATGGGTGTGGTCTTGACTACTTAAAGCCCCCCCTCCGCCCCGCCAAGCCCTAATAGATTTGGCAGGGAGACAGTATCATCCCAGCAGCACCTCCGGGCTCACCCACCACTTCAAACCCCCAAGAAGTCTCTACTCGCCGCTCGGGGGCGCGACGGAGCAGCAGCGGGGGCGGAGAGGGGTGAACTCAGCTCAGGAGGACCCACTGGCCCGGCCTGGGCGCACCAGTCCTGCCCGCGCGGCGAGGCTGGGGACGCTGCCCGGGGATCCCTCACGCGACCTAGGGATGGCCCTGAATTACGAGAGCCCCGGGAGCGCGTCCAGCAGGGAGAGGGGGAAGCTCCCTGACTGCTCCGCAAACTTTTCCCGCCCGCTTCGGCGCAGAAGGCGTGGGAAGCTGTCCCGAAGCGGCGAAGTGGAGTTCGGGGGCTCGAGCGAGCGCGGCGTGGACTGGAAGTCGGCGGCCTGGGTGGTGCCTCGCCCCCCCACCCACGTTACCGTCACCGATTCCGGGGGCCGCTCCTGGGCCAGTAAGTGGAGGAGTCGCGTCCCTGCTGCCCCGGCGCACGCGATCCTGGGGACCCCTGAAGTCGCTCCGCACCCTGGGCGCGCCCCCAACTCACCTGGCGCTGGAGGCTGCGCTGGCAGCTGGAACTACTGACGGGCCGCGGAGCGAGGCGAGGCCGCGGGGCTGTTTTGAGGCTCCAGGCTGGGGTAGCGCGCCCTCCCTCCGCCCTCGCGGCAGCGCGGAGCCGCCTCCCCCGCGCTCCCTCCTTCCCCGATTCCGCCTCCCGGGCCGTGACGTCAGAAGCCGGGAGCGCCGAGTGGGAGGGGCCACTGGCGCGGGGCGGGGCGCGGGGCGGGGCGCGGGGAGGGGCCGCTGGCGCGGGGCGGGGCGCGGGGCGCGGGGAGGGGCCGCTGGCGCGGGGAGGGGGCGCGGGGAGGGGCGCGGGGAGGGGCGCGGGGAGGGGGAGGCCGAGCCGCAGAGCGCCCAGGCGCCCCCCAGTTCCAGTCCACCTCTCGGAGGCTCTTCGCCAAGTTAGGCGGAGCCGTGGGCAAGGGCCAAGGGGAAGTGGGGTGGGGATGGTGGAGAGGAGGGGAAGAGGGAGAAAGGGGGCTCCGGAGCAAGGCGCCTCCCTTCCCTGCAGGCCTCCACAGCCCTCTCTTCCCCTTTCCTCTCCGCTTCTTCCCTGTTCTTCTTCCTCCCTCAGGAGTTTTGGAATCCAGGCTCCCTGCTCTGGACTTTCATTTTGTTTTATTTTTTGAAGCGGCGTCTCACTCTGTAGCCCAGGCTGGAGTGCAGTGGTGCGATCTCCGCCTGCCTCCCAGGTTCATGCGAGTCTACTTCAGCCTCTCCAGTAGCTGGGACTACAGGCGCCCACCACAACGCCCGGCTCATTTTTGTGTTTTTGGCAGAGATGGCCTTTCACCATATTGGCCAGGCTGGTCCCGAACTCCTGAACTTGTGATCTGCCCACCTTGGCCTCGCAAAGTGCTGGGATTACAGGACCGAGCCACTGCGCCCGGCCTTCTCTGGCCTTTTATGAACTTACAAGCTCGTCCAAAAGCTCTCCTGCCTCCGTTTCCTCTTCTGGAAATCGGTGTGATTATAAGAACTGTTTCCTTGGGTTGCAAGGTCTGAAGGTGATAATAGGTCCACCATGCTTGGTTCATGGTACCTGCCCCAGAGACGTCAGCCATTGTTATTTGTATTGTCTCACCTGCAGTCCTGGCCTTGGTGTGAGACGCCCAGCAACCAGTCTTTAGACTCTTCCAGGATCCCCTATTCACTCCCCCCACCAATACACACACACTCTCACACAAACCACTCACCACAGCCTTTCAACCCACAGTCCTGGAATTTAGTGTCCCCGGAAATGACATCAAAAGATAAGGAACTGCCTTTCTTTCCAGCCTCAGTTTCCCCATCTGGAAACTGAGAGGGCTGATCTGCTATAGACAGTCTTGGGAGATGGGGGCTGAGACCAGAGGCACCTGAGCTCCATCACGTGTGTGGAAGGAGGAAGTGGGAGTCAGTGTATTTTTTTTAAATCGAAGAAATTCCCAAACAGGGCCACAACATATAAAAGTATATTTTAAAACTTTTAATTTAACAAGTCTTAAAATAGTATAGTTAAATACTTAAATAGTATACTTTTAAAATACCTACAACAGTATATTTTAAGACTTTTAATTTAACAGTTCTTAAAATATAAAATTGACTTGTGCCACTGACAAGAGAATGAGAAGCCCTTTTAAGAAATATTAATTTATTGTGCAATCATGTGCTCTGGTTGGACTCCTTGTTTATCTTTTCTGTTGATCATCTATTTTTAATCCTACTGAGGAGCTCTGTCAGGAGAGGGACTTGCTGGGTCTAAATTAGAGATCTTTGGGGGATTTGAGATCCCCTCCAAAGGGCCACCCCCTCCCCCAGGCCTTGGGCTTCCCAAGTTGGCCTAGGGTCTGACCTGCCAAATCTCCTGGAATTCTACGGTTAACCAAGACAAGACTCTCATCCCCCAAGATAACTCTGTGTGTGTGTGTGTGTGTGTGTGTGTGTGTGTGTGTGTGTGTGTGTTTGGAGCTGGAGAGGGGACAGGAAGGCACTAATATGAACTGAGTCATCTTCTTCCTCCATAAAAGGGGAGGAGAGTGGGGTGTGGTTGCTATAGAGGACGGCCAAGAGGGCCCACCTACCTGCCCATGGCCATGCGGAGGACAGAGAAACCCCCAAAGTCTCACAGAAGAGTAAGCCCAGGTAAGGGATGGAGCAGGCAGGTTTCTGCGTTTGCCGAGGGCTTAGTGTGTGCCACTTACTCACAAACATAACCTTCAATAGAACATGGCAGCCCTGCAAAGCAAGTTACCCTCATTTTATCATGAAGAAACTGAGGCTTAGAGAAGCTATATCAGTAACTTGCCCAAAGGATCTACACAATCTATAAAGTTTGGATTTGAACCCAGACTGACTGCAGGAAACCCTTCTCCTCTTTCCACTCTATCACTGTTTACCAAATGCTAACCACACTCAAGCTTTAATTTTTGCCATATCCACCTTCCACCTGAACTCGTGTTCCCTTAATTGTTTTATTTAAATTAACTCTGTTTATTTTAGTATGTTTGTTTGAAAAGAAAGCCCTATATTGCCATGGTAAACAGGAAGCCAGTGCTATCTGCCAAAAATAGAAGACGAACTTATGAATATAAACACTATTGAAATAAAACAGTGGTAGTAAATTGCAGCCAGATACTGTTGCCTGGAAGACTCTGTGCACCTGTGAGGTTTAGAGTCTATTAAAAAGAGACCCAGGTGTGGTGGTGCTTACCTGTAGTCCCAGCTGTTCAGAAGGCTGAGGTTGAGGATCACTTGAGCCTGAGTTCTGAGGCAGCCTAGGCAACATAGCAAGACCCCGTCTCTGAAAAAAAATTGATGGGGGTGATCAGCAAGATTTTAAAAGCATGCTGACACAGAGAAGTCTTTCCCCTGTTGTTATCAGAACGATTGCAAGATCCTTGGAAAAGAGAGTCATGTTCTCACTCTGATTCAGAGCCAAGAGATGCCTCCTCCCTGTACTATCTCCGAAGCCACCAACTGGTGGAGTGTGTCCCAACTGGGAAGAACCTGACCAGACCCCAAGATGCCTCTCCAAGAGCCAGAGAAAGGAATGGGCCAGTTACTCCTCTCCCTTGTTTCCAGACCCTCGCCAGAGCCTCACCTGCCTGTCCCATTCACCTGCTACTTGCTGTTCTTTGTTTTCTGTCTTTATATATACTCCTGTCTATCCAGGAAAATGGGAAACAGAAACCTGCCTCATACCTGCTTGTATCCCTGCTTCTGGTGTTTCAATAATGAATTTGGTGTGGGGGAAAGTAAGAGTGTGTTTGATTGAGTTCTGGTCCCAGTTCTTCAGCCCCTTATAGTAGTAGTATATATATATATATATATACATATATATATATATATATATATCCCTACCCTAGCCATAGCCTCATGATGGGAGAAGTATATTCTTCAACTTCATCTTGAGCTTGGCCATGTGACTTGCTTTGGACAATGAGATATTAGCAAAGATGACACACACAAAGAATGGAAGGGTGCCTGAACAGTAGGATTTGCCCTCTTACTCTTTTGCCATTTCTACGAGCATAGTGTATCTCTGGTAGCTTAGTGGTCCCAGAAAATGAAAGACATGTGGAGTAGACCTACCCTAGAGGACCTACAGAATTTCGGTCAGAGACACAGAGCTGCTCCAGCCAACTGCAGACATGTAAATGGGAAATGCATGCTAACTGTTGCATGCCACTGTGGTTCATGGCTGTTTCTTTCACAGCAGTAACTGGTCTATATGGAGAGAGAGAGAAAGAACTGTAAGGAAGGCATTTGAAGGTATGGAAAGTCACCGAGGATGGGGGCTTGGTTCAGGGTGGGGATAGAAGATAATTGATTATACAGTGATCTCTCATGTGTCTTTCTGGCTTGAACATTTTAGGGTTCTGCAGTCTCTTGTAACTGGATCCTGTTCACTCTTTCCTTATCTTAGAATGAATGACTAGGGGTGTCCATGCCTGGGTGCAAATCGGATGCCCAACCTTAAGAGAACCAAACAGAACTCACAGTTGTAGCAGCATAGGTCATGAAGAAGACAATGTGGACTCTTGCTAAGAAGGATGGAGATGTTCTCAAATATCCACAAACTCCTGATGGGAATAGATTGAACATGAATGTGATTCAACCATCATAATCCACTTTTGGTTGGCAGGTTAGCTGAATCTTAACAGCTGCCGGGGGTTTTACTAACTTCCATTCGGTGGCTGTTTCCTTTGAAAACAAACTGGATACATAGCCTGCTAAGATAACTTGGTGCCCCTGCACCTCCCAGTGTTCATGCCTTTGTGTAGTTCTCTCCCCTTGAGAGTGGGCTGCACCTAACGATTTGTCTTTTTTTTTGGGTTTTTTTTTTTGAGGTGGAGTCGCGCTCTGTCGTCCAGGCTGGAGTGCAGTGGTACGATCTCAGCCCCTGCAACCTCTGCCTCCCTGGTTCAACTGATTCTCCTACCTCAGCCTCCTGAGTAGCCAGGATTACAGGCACCTGCCACCATACCTGGCTAATTTTTCTTTTTCTTTTCTTTTTTTTTTTTTTTCCGAGACGGAGTTTCGCTCTTGTTACCCAGGCTGGAGTGCAATGGCGCGATCTCGGCTCACCACAACCTCCGCCTCCTGGGCTCAGGCAATTCTCCAGCCTCAGCCTCCTAAGTGCTGGGATTACAGGCACGTGCCACCACGCCCAGCTCATTTTTTGTATTTTTAGTAGAGACGAGGTTTCACCATGTTGACCAGGATGGTCTCGATCTCTCGACCTCGTGATCCACCCGCCTCGGCCTCCAAAGTGCTGGGATTACAGGCTTGAGCCACCGCGCCCGGCAATTTTGCTATTTTTAGTAGAAATGGGGTTTCACTATGTTAGCCAAGCTGGTCTCTATGGGGAACATTCCCGTGTGAGACCCCCAAAAGGCGTAAGTCTCACTATACGGTGAGTTTGATCCCAAACACAGTTTCCTACTGGAGGCAGTCGAGCTATCTGGAAATATAGGATCTGAAAGATGAATGATCAGTTTCTAATGTCAACCACAATATCGTTTGGGCCTAAAACTATGCGTTGCTGCTAGACCGAGTGACCCCCTGCCGGCAACCGGTTCCTGCTTTTAACCTTTTTATGACTCTCTCTTTAAGAATAAGTTTTAGGCCGGGCGCGGTGGCTCAAGCCTGTAATCCCAGCACTTTGGGAGGCCGAGGCGGGT